CTCAGTCCCCCAACAGCCTGCGCGGCCCTTGGTAACCCGGGCGACGACCGAGCCGGTAAAATTTTCGATGGCTTCAATACCATGAGTGCCAGGTGGCTGAATTCTGCGGAGACTTGCCACGGTTTCCAACCCTCATCCTTTCTCATCGGGGTTTGGGACGGGAATGGCGGAGTCCTCGCAAGTTAAACAAGTGAAAATTAACTTTTGTTTATATATTAGAGTAGCGCTTAAAAATGTATATTAATAAATGCACAGTCCTGATGAAATAAAGCAGCTGTACGCACCTGCTTGTGCTGAATTTGTTGTTAAAAATTTACCACCTAGAAAATATGGCATGTATCGTTCGAGAAACGACATCTCGTACCAGAAGGTTAAAAACTACTTATCCAAAGCGGGCATAAGCAAGTTACAGTTAAACAGGACTGAAGTTCTTCTACTCCTCTTTACAGAATCAGTAACATTCTCAATCAAATCAACGTTGTTCTACGACATAAAGAAAGCTATTTTAGAAAGGAACAGCCATAAGTAACTTACAGCAACTCTGACAGTAATGAGGGTCAAGTGACTAAACACTACCCTTTTAAGCGCACAAATCAACCAGAGATTAGGAAAAAGACGGGCTTCCGGCTCAATAAGTGATCCGAACATATGCACCTCACTTCAATGTATGAACTTTGTGGGAAATACACACGTGACTGAAACTGATTATTAGGCCACCACCTAACATGGATTAACGAGACGAAGGAGTATCCGTATTTGAACAGGAATTTAATTTTAAGACTGCTTCAACTGCTATTGTATAGCACTACCGAAAGTTTGAGAATGCAATGGAAATCAGACTTATGTGACTCTACCATCACAGTGTTTCATATTCTTCAGCGTGATGAAAACAAAACAAAAACAACTAAGGCAGGCAGCATTTAGCAGACCGGACGTACTCACTGAATACCCTGAATAGAAGACAAGAAGTAGGTAACAATTGGTTACGGAAGTGTGGTTATGTTCAGCGAAGGAATCTTTTTCAACAGAAGCATGAGCTAATCCTGCTGCAACTCTGTCAAGGCTTTGTGGTCAAAGGAAAAAATTCGAAACCAATCGAAAGAAGACAGAAAACATCAACCACTGGAGAATTACTTGCTTGTTTCTGAAGGAATAAACGCTGAAACAGTCGACAACTGAAATGTTTAATGTTTTCACAGAGCAAATTTTTGCTTCAATCTGCATCATACATAAAGCAATAAATATTAATAATTAATGAATGAATAATAAATAGTATAATAATCCTATTTCCTCAAAACGGACCATTTGCAGCCAAAACCTACAACTGGAAATAAATATTTGATACAATGAAAAACAAAACAGACAACTACAAGGGCCGCGAAAAGCAACAGCAATAAAAATTCTCAATGAGCTCTTAAACTCAACCGGAAGAAGATACGCTAAGCT